ACTCTTTCCTATATAACTGCCAAGTGATTACAGCTGTCGTCCTGAAAGAATAAGACTGAAGTTCAAACCTTCCTGTCTGAGAATTCATACCATTCAAGTGTCTCTGGAGAGCACTGTAATTTCCAGCTAAATTATCCCATAAGCTTCACCTAGTTTTCTTCCCCTCCCAACAGTGTTGATTCACCAGTTCAGAGCTCAAGACTAATCTAGAAGATGGCCACAGAGATTTGGCGGTCAGAGTCACCTGCTCCAGAGACTGTTCGTCTTAACTCATTATCTATTTTAATTTAACACTAAACAGCTATTTAAAAGGAAGCTAGAACTTACTTGGTTCTCAATCAGAATAGAGCACGTACCTTCAACAGACGATCCTAAAAGGAAAACTGCTTCTTACAGTTCTGATGAGATTTTTACAGTAGTCCCTGTCGTCAGTACTTTCCCATTGCCTAACCCTTGTAAGATCATTACAGGCTGCACATTAAGTGTGCCAACATTAGGTGGCTTCCTGCTAAGTGCACACACTGGTTTGGATCCTGTTCTGAACTAACTCTCCCCAGGCAAAGTCTTAGACACTTACTTTTCAGGTTATTCAAATTAGATCTAATAAAAGATGTAAGTATAAGAATTTAAATTCAATATCCATCTCACTGCACTGCAGACACTTAATTTCTAGTTAAGTTTCTGATTTAACAAATTTATTAAGTACACATTCTATACAAAATATGTAATTGATGCGAGGAATTCTGTTGGCATTACCTAAACTTGATTTTAGGTATAATGCTCCACTCACTAAAAAAGTGTGCCACTACATAGGCAATATATGCATTAGTCCTACATCTACCTTTCCTTTTAATTAAAGGAATATACCATAAAATATTAAGAAAAACTAAATTCAACTTCCAGTGACGTGATAACGCTGCTGATTAAATCAGGCAAACAGAAAAAGCTAAAAAAAGTACATCCTAGACATCATTTAAGCACTTCAGCCAAGAGAAGTGTGGCATGGATTATTGTGATTGCGGTAGCACATCTGAATGTCCACTCAGAGCAAAGCACCAATGCAGAGCATACAGTATAAACACCAAAACTGTCCCCAACTAAAATATTTTATTCAGCTCAACTTCTAAGCAGTCAAGTGTTGCATTAACACTGCACTGTAGTCCATAAATCACTATCCATCTGTCAATGACTTCATATATAGAATGACATTAAGTATAATTGACAATACTTTAAGTGTCATATATTGTTGATATGCTTTCACGTTAGTCATTTATTATCAAATTTTGAATACCTAACAATTAATCGTCATATACCATACACTGACATACATACCATGAATAAGCCTAGGACCCTAAGTTAATGGATCATATCACTGAACGCAATTGCAGGTTTTTAAGGTGTCAACCAAAACCACATTTATCCTGTTTCAGGTTAAATACACTGACAGGTGCAAGAGATACGAGCTTTAGAAGTCATTAATCTCATGGAAATGTTCCCTAACATACTAGTTAAAAAAATCACTAGAACACTTCTTTGGATTACTGTGGATTCATGTTCTTACTGATCTTCTCAATGTGGCTCAGTAGTTTCAACAACGCAGATGGATTATATGGGAAAAGATTTCTTCTCTGCAACCTAGAAATAGCTTTTTGCAGTTCTTCCAGACATTTGGTGCATTTGTAAAGCATTATTCTTAGGGGAATGATGTTATCCGAAGACGCCATACAAGTCAAACAGGATGAGGTATTAGATTCCTTTTGTTTCAGAGGCAACACTTCAGACTTGAGTGTATTCCGTTTATCACCTGTGTAGCTGCAACCAGTTTCCCTTATCCTTGTCTCAACCTCTTTATTTAAAGGCACCTGCTTTGTGTTTACCAAGCACTCTTTTCCATCTGATTCTAATTCAGAGTCTTCCGAGCTGTCATAATTAACAAGGCTTTGAAGAGAACCCAGCAGAGATGTACTATCAGTGCATACCAATGAGTTAGACTGGTTAGACTCTGCAACTTCATTATCACCTTGCTCTGTTGTAAACACTAAGTAATTGTGAGAATCCGCCAAAGATATCAGAGTCTGAGGTTCTGGTTCACAACAAGCAATTTGCAAACTCTCATCAGTCATACAGCTTTGTTTTTCTTGATGGGGTGGCTTGACAGAAGAAATTGATTGAAAAGTGCCATGTTTGGTATCAAAATTGTTACAGACATCTACAAACTGATGCCAGTCTTTTCTAAGAAGCTTTAAGTACCTTACCAAGTACTCGAGAAAGCAAGTTTCTGATGAAATCAAAAAATCTAGAAGTACTGTGGAATCAAATGCGATTTTTTCTAGAAAAAATAAAAAGATACAGTGGGGATTATATCCACTTGCATGCGTAAGGAAGTTCCAGGTTTCCTCCTCTTTTTGGCTTAAGTTATCAGCAGCATCATGCCGTAACCTGAAAAATAAATCATGAAATGGATTAAATTCAATGGAAGTTTACAGGTTTTTTTTAAAAAAACAGATATGTCCAGAAAATGGTATTCTTCCTCTTTTTTGATTTTGTCAAAAATTAAAAACCAAAAAAGAAGTTTTTATATTAGAATGAGAAAGAATGAAGGCAGGTGGGGCTAGGAGATCGGACAGTTTAGGAAGCCAAAGCACTTAAAGCAGGCCTTCTTAAACAGCACTTCTCCTTAGGAAACATTCTGGAATAAACAAAGTTACTTACAATACATGAATTGTTATTTTAACATTTTGTAAGACTGAACAAAGATTAACTTGCAGGATGCTAAGCACATCGGAAAAGAGTGGCCTATTTTTATTTAGGTGTCTAAGAAGAATTGTGTTTATCTAAGATACTACTTCCAATATCTCCACATTTGAAGCTTGAGGGACCTTTTATAAATTAGGATAGTATCTTGTACGGTAATTTAAACAACAATGAAGCAGTGAACGTTCAGGACAAATTCATGAAGAACGCATTTCAGTTGTTAGCAATAAGAGTTTTTATGAACTAGCTAGAATTAACATGGGTCCAATCCTTAGAGAGCTACTTTGCCAGAAGTCCCTGAATTCTTTAAGTTTAATTATAATATCCCATTCTTGTCAAACTCTCAGTGTTGAATGAAAACAGCCTTGCCCTTTTATCTGTGTCTAACCACTATTTTAGATTGTGAAGTCAATTATTCTGAATTACAGGATATGATAAAGTATTTAATAGGAAACTGTTGCACAACTCCCTCATTTCAATCCAAAAAACACTTAATCAAAATATCAGCAAAGTTAACTGCTCTTACACCACACCTTATTACGCTGTCCCGAGGTTTGGGTTTTTTTTAATTATTAAAAATATTTTTTTCTTTATACAAAAGCAATCAATGGAAATGCTATGTATATCACAATAACCTCACTAAATTACAATTCTTCATTGTTCTGTCAAATAAAATGTACACTAACCTATCAAATTTTAAATAAATGAGTAATAAAGCTTTAGCAGCTTCCCACATATCATCATCTTGCTCTATGAAAATCAAGGATAGCCATTCACAGTGATGTACAACTGGGTGAGACTGTGGGGAAGACTTCAGATGACTCCTCCAGAATATCAACAGCTGGGACATGAAACTCTGAAAGTCTCCTGAAAAAAAAAAAGTAACCGTGAGTTTTGCTAAAAATTTTTTGTTACTAAACAACATACACTTTTTATTTTTTAAATTAACAGTGCATAACAGTTCATGAATGCATTTATCATTCCTTAGCTCAACTGATTTAACACAGCATCAAATTTTATAGATTAGTTCTTGCTTCTTGGTACCAAAGAAATCAAGAAATATTTGCAGAAAACCGTAGGCGGTTATCTAACCTTAAATTCAATGTGAATGGCTACTCTATTAAACTCTAAACATACCAAAATTTAGATGCCAATGTTAAAAACTATAAGTAACCTGCAGAAAATTAATTTACTCATTAGGTACAGGACTCCTGGCCCCCCCGACCCTAGACAGATAAGGACACAATTTGTTCATCTAACATTCTTCATTTCCTTGGATTTCAAGGAAGAATAATCAGAAGTGACCTAGAAAGTTTTGGGTACAACAGGGTGAATCCTCTCACACCTAAGCTTGCAGACTAATGAACAAGATTACACCTTCAAATATTTGCATATATTAGGAAACCTTCAAAAAATGTGACTATACCTACACAGCTGGGATTTATACTTTCCTTTAGCTCCCCAATTAGGTAGCTTACAAACTAAAGAAAGGTGAATTGTAATCAAATCAATGCCACAGATGTAATGATCCAATATGAGTACTTTGCTGAGATTTCATCTCAGGTAGTTCTTCCCATATGAAATACTAAAACAACTGTAATGTTTCAATAGGATTGAAGCAAAACCCCCAGTGTGATTCACTGTAGAAATTAACTGCAATGATCTACAGTTGATGGGAATAAATTGTCATTTCTACAATAAAACAAAGTATGGAGTAGCCATATTCTTTATAAAATAAATTCTTCATGGATGATGTACTTTTTCAAGTACATATGGGCTTGGGATAAAGATGAGATGAGATGAGATGACCATCATGAGATGGTCTAAAATCCTTGCTGGAAGGATTAACGTAAGCAGCGTTTTTCCTGCAAATCCTCATTTTTCCCCTCCCTCTAAATACTGCACTCCTGGATGGGAAAAGCACCTCAAAATTTATGCCATTTTAGTGCAGTAGCTTACTCATAAAGATAACTTTGTATTCATATGACAGACAGACTCTTTCCTTTTTAAGTCAAGAAACTTACCTCTTCAATACTAATGACATACTATAAAAAGATTCTTTACGTCTGAACGTACGTACCAGTTTTTCATGTAACACAGCATACATTCAACATTTAGAAAACAGAAAAAATATAGTGACGTATATCTTTACCCCAAAAGTACTCCTTAATTAAGAACTCTAATGCTGTTGGAAGTACACTATGGCTCAAAGAGCACAGTTGCATCATTTATATAAACAGTGATTACCACTTTTGAAAAATTTCCTGCAACATGGGAATCAATTTTTCTTATAAAACCATCATTATGTGGTTTTCCTTAATATTTAACTTTAAGATTTGCTTTTCCTCTTAGCAAATAATAGGAACAGCAGATTACCTTTGTTATTAATAGTTACTATTCAGACTGAAATTCTTCTCTATAAATCAAAGCTATCTGGAAATTACTCTCAAAATTGAAATGAATTAAAGTTAAGCCACTGTAATTCATGTTAATAAAAAAAGATAAGATCAACCAGCTTCCCGGAAGGGAATTTAGCGTATTAAAGCATTTTGGTGCTTGTTTTAACCACTTAATTTAATGTCACTAAAATAGAAGCACCATTCCTTTCAACTTGAAATTCCTCTTGACAGTTGGAGTATTTGAATCTAATTAAAAAACTCATTTTTGTGTCATGAATCTGGAAAAGAAAGGAGGATTTTTTCTTTGAGAAAGAATTTTCACAGACACATCTAAAATAAATTTAACCTACATTTTTCCTATTCACTTTTTCTCAGACAATCTCAGTCTCCATACACTTTTCAAAATGTGGACCATAAGTAAAATATTCTCTACAAATACTTAAAAAACTCTAAGAACGCAACTGGCATTACAAATATAACATCTTCCAAAATCTGGAAAAAGTGTCAGAAGCTGTCTTGCAAAGTCCGTGGCTCTTTTGCAGTTAGATGAATTAAAAATCGATTTTATGCTTGCTACATAATGTAGAAATATAAAAAGTAAAATAACATTTACATCTAGAACTTGTATTAAAATGCCTCAATATATTTAAGATGCTGTAAAATTTCATCCTTGTTTAAAAAGAAATATAAATCGTTTTTTACTTTTTGCCACATCATCAATTGGCTGACAATAAGGAACACCCATTCTCACTTGTATTTGACTAGAAACACTGCTTCAGAACTGCCTTTCCATTTTTGCCATGAAGCCTGTAATCCAGGGACAGCAAGCTGCTTTGATCATAGAATTTGCACATCCACGTTCACATGGCTTAGCATCAGAAGATGTGCATCATGTGCCTCTCAGAGGTAGAGGCAAGTGGAAAGATGGGATTCCAGGAGTGTCTCTCAGGCAAAAAGCCTCACCCCACCACGTCAATACAGCATAGGAGAACACTACTAACTGGCTACTAGCGTGACAAAGCAACATGTCCTCTCCCATCAGGAACTCAAGTTACACAGCATTCCCCATCCCACAGCCTGCCTTGTGGCATAGCCCTAGCACAAGAGCCAGATCTGCTCTTTTACTAATCTAATTCATCTATTCAGCAGAACAAACATACTCAAGTAAGCAGGTATGAAAAGTATGCCTAACACCTACTAATTCAGAGAACTGGACCTATAAGTCAGGGTGAAGAACACAACTACCATACCCTGCCAACTCCCATAATTTTCCTGTCTTTTACTTTACAGCTTCATTATTTTTACCTTTTCTACACTGCTGGTTTTCGCCCTATTGCATTATTTGTCCGACAGTAATGCCTAGTACCTTCAACCAAGATAATGGTACTTGCAGGTCTACCTCCACATTAGAGAACAAAAAGAGAGTGTTACCTGCTGTTCCTTTTAGTTCCCCACCCTGAATAGAGTAGATGCTTGTGCTATGGACTCTCTTCTTTACCAACTGGAGAAGAGCCTGGTGTTCCCAAGCTAGCTCAACTATTTCAAATATTAACGTATGTTCTTAACAGGAAAAGCTTTCAATCCCAAATGGAGCTGTTTCAAGCCCCCAGTATTGCAGGGCTAAGGACAAGATAAAATGCAAGGAGACAACTAATTAGGCAGGACACAGTGATAGCAGGTTTCCTGGGTGGGTCTTCTTTTTCCTGCCTCCCACCACCACTAATTCAGCTGAATTCTAATTGCAGTCTCAAATTAGTCACAGTAATTTGCAGAGCTGTGACTACAAAATCTGAAAGCTTTAAAACTCCTGCTGCTTAATGAACAAAACTAAAAGAGACTATTACCTTTGATTTCAGCTTCTGTAGCAGAGTTCTGAAACTTGAATTCCAGTGCTTTAAGCACAACCAGACTTAAGGCTCTGAGAACAGTTTGGTCAGAACCACCTTGAGTATCATCACCAGGAGGAGCTTCACTGCCTCCAAAGTAGCTGGCCTTTCCACTGAGCGGGATCTCATTAAGCCAAGTCAAATTCACAACCTGCAGAATAGCACTACTCAGTGCAAGCATATCCTCATACAAAGATGGGTTTTGTAAGAACAGGGATCCACTTTCAGACTTGCAAAGGATACATTTTTTAAGGAGCATAATGAACAACTTCTTGATTAAATAGTGAATCGATGAGCTAATGAGGTTCAGGACATAAGAAACTTTCAAAAACAATACTCTCTGGCATCTAAGCGGTAGTTCTAATTCAATTCTGGAAGCCAAAAGTGCTTCAAGCAGATCTATAAAACTGATCAAATTGTTTGCAGCTTCAGAGTAAGGTGAAGTATAGTGGTGACTGTCAAAATGATGGAACAGAATGGAATTATAAAATCCTTCAAGCACAGCATCGAGAGGAGCCAACAACTTCTTCAAAATACCTACAGCAACAAGAACAACGTTATGGAGTGTAACACAGTCAGCTAAATCCTCAAATAAGCAGAAAACAGGCAATTGTGACTATTCTCAGTTTTTAAGCATCTTTAGGTCACTACATTTTTAACAGTACTTTGTCACCCTCTTTGTAACGAAGAAAATAGCTGTTCTTCAAACAAGCTGCTCTAGGTGAGATTACAAGTAAAGTTCCTCCCCCTACTGGGCACTTGCGTATCAGTAACATCACAAAACTGCTACGGTACCTGCTTTGGACAAAACTTTATCTTTCAGTATGTCCTTGATAATACTTGTAAGAGTCCACAGACATTCTGCTACGTGGGTATTCACAGGGAATCCTGAAAGAGTCTTCAAACTAAAGGTGAGCCAGGTGACATTTAATGTGTTCTAAGAAAATGAGTTCAAAAAATAATCACGTATGCTTTACAATTGCTATGCAAATTAAATTAAATCATAATACAATGATTTAAAATTGTACATTAAAAAGATTCAAATGTAGGCATAGACAAAACACAGGTAGAAACAATATATCTGTCCAGTGCCTTTTAAGTATGTAGGCCTGTATTTATAAACATAAAGTCACATATACAATGCAATAGAAATTATCTGCATTTTCCAGAAAGGGAAAACCAAACCTCCTAATGTCATGTGACCTACCCAAAATCAGGTAATACTATAGACAGACCATATCTGAATTCATAATTCCCAGACCCAGACAACTTTGCAAGAAATATTACAAACATATTTCTGAGAGAGATCTATATTCAGAAGTGCTACCATGGAGGCTACAATACGTATTCACCAAATATACAGCAAGTAAAAAGACCTCAAGTGTTTGGAATATTCAAACAAGAAAACACAGAAAAGTATTTGATTAACTTTCAATAGGTTATTACCTATTTTTGTCTACTGCATCACCTAACAGATCTCAAGTACCTGTAAAAATATTGATAGTGTAGATTATCAGTTTTTTTAAATACCTGTATTGCAACCTTAAAGAGAGTATTTCTTGCCATCTAGACACATTTTACCTTAAAATAGTTTAATAAAATTCCAGAGTTTATATATAAAGACATTCCACCTCACATTACAAACTTCTGCTACACATCTGATCTTTCCTTCTATACTCCATGCCCCTCCTAACACACTTGAAATACTCTCCTGGAATATTTATTACATCTCTTTCCTGTCCATCGCTTACAACCTAAAGCCCCTTAAGACACACTTTATGGGAGAACTATCACATAGTATAATCTTGTATAACCTTCACGTTCCTGATACTGGAGCCAAACACACTTCAACAAAACTGTGTGGCGTTTTGAGGGGACTAACAGAGTCTGTATGCTGAACATCAGCAGACTGCAGATGTGCCTTTCAGAAAGCTAGAGCACAGTAGACCTGTGCAGGCCACAGATGGAGGAAAGGAGCAATTCTGATGTCAGTCTGTGGGTCTACTTACGAAAGGAGCCTCTTTAGAAGTACTTTTAGATTTTACAGTAGTCATATAGTGACTGCTTTTGTGCCATACAAACACTATAAAAAGTTGGCTCTAGAGTCAAATGGAACAACTTGAAGGCACATATCCACTAAGTCGTTTCTTTAAGCTGTGAAAAGTTATGCCATACTCACCTCTTCCTTCAGCTGGAAATACACAAGGGATGCTAAACTTTTTGAAGCCATGTGAGATAACAGTTGATCGTAACTACCAAGCAGACAAATCTGCAGACATGTAGAAAGAAAAAGTATCTAAGGCATGTTCCTTTTTTATTCCTCCTTTCACAAAAATCTTTCAAAAGTTTATAAAAGCTTACCAATTTTGAGTCAATTTTTGCCTCCTTCAGAAGAAGGACAAAGATCTCACAGTACTTCTGTCTCATATTGAATTCAATTTCCTGGGACTGTGCTTTAGCAACCATCATCTTGATCAAGGTTAACTGAAGCAGCATCACTTCTCGTGGACAGAATGAGGAATTCATGCTTCCAAAGCTATTTGATGTATCATCTGTTGTAGGGACATCTGACATATCAGTGTCCTGATCCTGACGGCTCCTAATACCACCATTAGTAGATGGCAGATGCATCCGATTACATGATTCATCTCTTTCTGGTGACTGTTCAACACACAGATTAAGTAAAGAGGTATAATGATGGCTTTCCTTTGCTAGTGGGATGCCTACCAGTACGTCCTTATACATCTGCTGTAGAAGAGAGATCTTCATTATGAGAACATTCAGTATTCCAGAAAGTGCCGTATGTCTTCACTGATTATTCATGGTCCCTGCAAATCAGCTTTGAAGTTATTTTTATCCAGTAAGAGAAACAGAAGCACTATTCTGCATTTCTCTTCTAGGTTACCTAGAAATAAATATTTTGCTATTACTGAACTTAAGAGATAACTAGAAAGATACAAAAGAAAAACACACATTTTTAGAGTTAATACTACCATTATTCAACTTATTTTGAAAATACAAATCCACTGTTTAAAACCAGCAAGAGTGACAGTTGCACAAAACTGTCCCAGTGAGACATTAAAATGATACAAGAATTACCATGCTGTGAAGAAGCTTACAGTTCCAATATTATACTACTGACACCAACATTAATTTGCTGGAACTAACAAAACCAAAGACGACTATTACTAGGGATTAATTCTGAAAGATATGAGAACTTGGATCAAATCTTTCTCTAAATTGCTAACACTACTAAAACCTCATTTCTTTGGTGACAGATTCCTCCAAAAACAGGCATGAAATTTCAACCGCAAATTTTCATCTGAACTGGCAACGTTTATTGCTCTGTTAAGGCTGGATACGGCAACACCTCTCTCAAAAAAACCCAAAAGGACAAGTCTCGTCTTCTGCTGCACATAGGCTCAAGGTGAGTGGCGTGAATACACAGGAGGGGAGAAATGGGCTCTTAATTTAGTAAGGAGAATTCCTTTATATCTCCATGTGCAGAACTCTTATTCTGCGCACCTACATTTTGAAACACAAAACAGGTTTTCAAATAATGCAAAGGACCAACAATGCCACAGGGCTGGTCTCAAGGGCCCAGTGACTGAGAAGTTCAAAATTAAAAAATACTTAAAAAACAAAGTATAAAACTTACTAAGAGCCAATAAAAATACTTAACCATATTCAGGAAAGGTGTAAAAAAAAAAAAATCTTTATCACCATGTCAACAGAACATATCTTTCAATCACAACACTGGAACATTTACTATAGCTTAAAAAGAAGAGCTATTAAGAATTCAAATCTCTCTTTGAAGTGTGAGCACCTAAGCACCCACAATTTTCTAACCATCACGTAAATGGCTAGACAGATATCCTATCTTCTCAGAAAACAAAAAGGATATACTTAACAACATCAGGGTTTCTTTTTCACCTATATTAAGAGTGATGCTAGTCTGTAATATTTATCTTTCTAGAACAGTTTTAACATGTTCTCTAACCAGAACTCTTAACAAAAAAACCCAAACAAACTCATTACCTTTATCTACCGTGAAGTTAGGAGTGGGACTTACATTGTTTATAGGATCCCTGTCTTTAAGTCTGGCATAACGAACCAGGTAGACTCCTGAAGCCATCTGTCTGTAGTTGGCTTTTATTTAGATGTTACATTTCCCCTTTCTTACCAATGGAAGAAAACCACTCAGTCTCCCAGAGTAAGAAACTCTAAAGATCTTCCCATCTATGTATCAATTACACCTGCATTTATCATCACACCAAATATTTTAAATTAGTATTGCTTATTAGCAGAATATTAGAAAACAATGACACTATAAAATTCATTGTATGAGGCATTTTTGTTTTAGTTTTTAACCTTCACAAGTTTTTAAAACACTATCAAAAATTGAGAATTACACCTTCATTTTTACAATTTAATTTTTTAACTGCAACTGAAGTATGCATTGACAAAATGGCTTCCCAAAGGAGCAAAGGATTAGGGGTAGACCAAGATATGCTACCCGGACTCCTCTCCTCTCCCACCATCGGGCAGTATTTCCTTCAGAAGAGCATCTACAATCAGAGAATAAGAAGTTGCCTGCAGGGAGTGATCTACAATTCACTCTGGTGTGGTATTTTTAAAGACACATTCAGCAATGGCTGACCTGACAACTCCAAAATGTTATAGTATATTCCTCACCTAACCCTCACGTGATAGAACTAAGAACCCTTCCCCCATCCTTTCCCATATTCCACATTTTAGATGTTAAGAATAAATCTGATACTTCAGACAATAAATTCCTTCGTTTGCAGAATCTATTTGGAATTCTACTTGAGGTGGAAATTTATGACCTGAAACCTTGTAAAGTTTCTTCAGAAATCACTCTGAATATTTTATATAGATATTGTTCCTATCTTTGAGTTTTATTTCTTCCTAAACGAATACCTAATAAAGTAAAATTATCTCAACACATTTATTTCTGTGTTCAAGATCAACTTGAATTATCATCCTACATGGTAAATGAACAGATCTGTCATGACCAAATTCATACGATACAGCAAAGGTGTTAAGGCACAAGAGATTTAGAACTCCTCTAGGACAGGCACTATGAGATTTTACCTTCACCACATGATACTGGTTGTGCTTTCCCTGATCCTACCATAATACGTTTATATTATACCATTAATTTGCAAAACACTTTACAAAAACATCTATAAGGTATGTCTCACTCATACATGACAACAGTTCATGAATAGATGTCCCCAAAGGAAATGAAATGTGAGGGGGCTTATTTTGAAGAAATTTACTTCAAAGAGGGGGAAATGACTAAATTTGTTTCAGACATAGTAAAAGAGCACAGGGAAAAGCTCAAAGCTGACGAGTAAAGAAAAGCAATCATAGTCATACACAAGAAATGACAAACTCCAACCCTTACTTGTATTATTTATTTGAGTTATTCAGGACAGCATCTAAAAGCCAATTAACATAACGCCTCACAGTGCCAGACTCCTGCATAAACAATAGGAAACAAATGTAAAAACCTTACATATAGACTGATCAGGCAAAAGACAGAAAGGGAAACTATAAAGAAAAAAAGACAAATAAATATTTTTTATATGTTATTTCCATGACTACTTTAGTTAGGCTTTAAAATCAAAACCAAAGTCACGTGGAGCTGCAAACGGAATGAGAGAAAAAACTTGATGGAAAAGGGAACAAAGAACTGGAGATGAAAACTCAGATGGCAGCTGAAGCCTGTAAGGTTCAAGGACTATCATAAACCAAGCAAGTGAAGTTTAAGTGGTTGCAAACGCCTCCAGAATATCCTAAATCAGAGTTATAAAATATGTATATTTCTACAGGGTGGGATACTTAATTTAGCACAAAGTCATAGAACGCATTGTTTTGACTGGAGTAACATTGTTGATATCACATTTCACTTTTTTTTTTACTAACACAAATGGCTTATAATGACACACAATTACTCAGAGATATTCGTGAAGAGGAACGATTAGAGAAAGCTATTGTCAAGTCCCTATATTAATCTTTCCCTGTTATATGTACTATTGAACGTTAATTGCATGAGTTGCAACTGGGAGAAAACAAGCTATCAAAAAACCCCTATTTTCATTAAAAAATTAAGTCGCATAAAGCAAAATGTAACCACAGTCCATGACTTTTGGGTATGAGTCTGAAGGCTCTGGATCTCCTTACAATGCAATGGTTGAATCATTTAAGAAATAAAATATACTTTGGACTACTTGTACCTGCAATGACTTCGTAGACTCATCTCTCAATAAAGAATATGCTTCCGCTTAGTGCTGAAATACTGAAAACGCCTCTAAAATAATGTTATTTCCTTCCAGAGGTTGCAAACAACCTCTGCTGCGATCTGTCCAATCCCTGTCTGTAAACTGTGACACCTAAGTGTGCCAGATGCTTTATCTGCTCTTCTGCAAGCGTCTTTAGCCACTAGAGACAGGACTAGACGGACCCGATCCCACCTCACTGGCCCCTTATTGTACCTCTTACACTGGCGTTTCAGAAATGCCAGCACTGGGTTACTGGTAGGAGGACCTCGCTAAAAGCGACAATCCAGCCTGACAGGGAACAGAGGTGAGAGCACGGACGTGCGTAATTACTGTCCCAAAACGGCCGGTGCGGAGAGCCCCACGCCGCCCTCCCGGCCTGCAGGCCCTCTCCCCCTTACCCTCCTCCGGAAGGCCCCGTCAGCCTCCCCAACC